GCCCTCAGACCAACCCCTATTTTGGCCCTTATTTTTACTCTTTTTTAGCCCTTATTTTGACACTCATTTTGGCCCTTATTTCAACATTCATTTTAGCCTCTATACCGAGCTCCATTTTGAACCTCGTACACACTCTTATTCCAATCCCTATTTTGGTCCTTACTCTGATCCTCATACCAACTCCTATTTTGGCCCGTATTTGGACACTCATTTTGCCCCTTATATCGTACCCCATTTTGGACTTCATAGAGACCCTCATTTTGGGCTTTATTTCAACTCCTACTTTGGCCATTATTCGTGCCCTCATTTTAACACATACCGACTTTTATTTTGGCTCTGATTGTGATTTTAATTTTGGCCCTTATTCCAGCTCTCATTCTGACCCTTATTCTGTCACTCATTTTGGCCCTGATCTGACCCCCATTTTGGCCCTCTTTCCCACCTTTATGTTGACCCTTATATCGACCCCTACTTTAGCCCTTATACCGACCCCCAGTTTGGCCCTTATTCTGACCCTTATTTTGGGCTTTAAAACGCCCTTTATTTTGGCCCCTATTCTGACTATAATTTTGGCCATTATTACGACCCTCGTTTGGCCCTTATTCCAACCATCATTTGGCCCTTAGTCTGACCCTCATTTTTGCACTCATACCAACGCCCATTTTGGCCCTCATACAGATCGTTTTTTCAACTCTTATTTTGGCCTTTATTCTGACCCCCATTTTGGCCCCTATTCTGACTATAATTTCGGCCCTTATACCGACCCCTATTTTGATTCATATTCTGACCCTCATTTTCGCCCTCATACCAACGCCCATTTTGACCCTCATACAGACCCTTATTTCAACCCTTCATTGGTCCTTATTCTGATCCCTATTTTGGCCCCTATTCTGACTATAATTTTGGCCCTTATACCGACCCCTATTTTGGCCCGCATACAGACCCTCATTCCAACCCTTATTTTGGCGCTTATTCTGATCCCCATTTAGGCCCTCATAGTGACCCTCATTTTGGCACTTATTTCAACCCCTATTTTGGCCCCTATTTTGGCCCATATTCTGACCCTTATTTTTGCCCTTATTCTAACCCCTATTTTGGCCCTTATACCGACCTCCATTTTGGCCCTCATACAGACCCTTATTCCAACCCTCATTCTGACCCCGATTTTGACCCTTATTGTGGCCCTTAAACGGACCCCCTTTTTAGCCCTCATACTGCCCCTTATTTTGGCCCTTATTCTAACCCTCATTTTGGCTCTTCTACGAGCCCTTGTTGGGGCCCTTATTCTGACCCTTATTCTGATTCTCACTTTGGCTCTTATTCTGACCTTTATTCTGACCTTTATTCTTCCCCTCTTTTTGGCCCTCATAATGACACTGATTTTGGCCCTTATTTCAACACTCATTTTGGCCCTCATACCAATCCCGATTTTGGCCCTTATTTTGACTCTTATACCCCCCTAGTTTGGCCCTTATACCGACCCTTATTTTCGCCTTTATACCGACCCCTATTTTGGCCCTTATACCGACATCCATTTTGGCCCTAATTCCGACACCCATTTCGGCCCTAATTCCGACCCTCATTTTCACCCTTCTTCTGGCCCTTATTTTGGCTCTTATACTGACCTTTATTCCGGCCCCCATTTTGACCCTCACTCTCACCTTTTGACTCTCACTTTGGCCCTTATTTGAACACTCATTGTGGCCCTCATACCGACCCCTATTTTGTCCTTTATTTTGACCCTCATTTTGGCCCTTATTCAAACCCCTATTTTGGCCCTTATGCCCACTCTCATTTTGGCCCTCATCCCGACCCTTATTTCGGCCCCCATACTGACGCTCATTCTGACCCTTATAGGGACCCACAATCTGGCCCAATAAGGGTCAGAATTTGTTGGGCTTACTTTGACCCCCATGCCTACCCTTATCATGACACTCATCCTGACGCTTATTCTGTGACCATTATTTCGAGTCCTATCGCCAAGAGTTGATCCGGACTTTTGCCTCTAATTAATTTTCAACTCAAACATCACTTCATTATTATTTATTGCGCATTGGATGCATTGAATTCATCAGCGGGGGATTCACAGTCGATCCTCATTTTTCCGGGTTCAAAAAACCATTCAAAATTCGGTGTCATTCCAATCTGCTTACTGCCTAACCAATGACTCAATCACTGATTGAGGATACATGAAACTATCCCTCCATCGTCTAGTAATATTGACAATACCGCAACTGCCTTCACGTCACTAGCCTCTCCATAACTAGATGCGCTGTTGTCATATACTCTACTCCCTCCTCTACCCACTCCGTCGCGGCAAAATACGCGCTCCCAATTGGTCTACCATAAACGTTAATAATTTAAAAACTAATTAATTAATAATTTTTTTCGCATTTTTCCCGTATTCAGGGGGCTCGAATCTATCGCTGGACGAGANGATTTTGGCCCTTATTTTGACTCTTATACCCCCCTAGTTTGGCCCTTATACCGACCCTTATTTTCGCCTTTATACCGACCCCTATTTTGGCCCTTATACCGACATCCATTTTGGCCCTAATTCCGACACCCATTTCGGCCCTAATTCCGACCCTCATTTTCACCCTTCTTCTGGCCCTTATTTTGGCTCTTATACTGACCTTTATTCCGGCCCCCATTTTGACCCTCACTCTCACCTTTTGACTCTCACTTTGGCCCTTATTTGAACACTCATTTTGGCCCTCATACCGACCCCTATTTTGTCCTTTATTTTGACCCTCATTTTGGCCCTTATTCAAACCCCTATTTTGGCCCTTATGCCCACTCTCATTTTGGCCCTCATCCCGACCCTTATTTCGGCCCCCATACTGACGCTCATTCTGACCCTTATAGGGACCCACAATCTGGCCCAATAAGGGTCAGAATTTGTTGGGCTTACTTTGACCCCCATGCCTACCCTTATCATGACACTCATCCTGACGCTTATTCTGTGACCATTATTTCGAGTCCTATCGCCAAGAGTTGATCCGGACTTTTGCCTCTAATTAATTTTCAACTCAAACATCACTTCATTATTATTTATTGCGCATTGGATGCATTGAATTCATCAGCGGGGGATTCACAGTCGATCCTCATTTTTCCGGGTTCAAAAAACCATTCAAAATTCGGTGTCATTCCAATCTGCTTACTGCCTAACCAATGACTCAATCACTGATTGAGGATACATGAAACTATCCCTCCATCGTCTAGTAATATTGACAATACCGCAACTGCCTTCACGTCACTAGCCTCTCCATAACTAGATGCGCTGTTGTCATATACTCTACTCCCTCCTCTACCCACTCCGTCGCGGCAAAATACGCGCTCCCAATTGGTCTACCATAAACGTTAATAATTTAAAAACTAATTAATTAATAATTTTTTTCGCATTTTTCCCGTATTCAGGGGGCTCGAATCTATCGCTGGACGAGAGGTAATTGGATCATTTAGAAACACCCTGTACATGTGGGCCGTTCCACCAAATATCGTATGCAAATCTGGCCTTAAAATTCTCGATAATTTTTTTTCGTTTCTTTGTACTCCTTATGTGTGGAAAGGTAGATTTCTTGACTAGGAGCGCTCCCGCATTTCAATTGATGAGGCTTCGCAAGCTTAGACGATTTTCCCTCAAAATTATTCAATCGAACTAAACGTGATAAAATATGCTCAGAAAAATAAATCGAAACATAGGTTTTGATCGTAAATTTTCTGAATATTCAGAAAATGATGTCAATTTTTTCCTCTCACCACTCCTTCATAGCGAAAATCGAAAAAGGAAACTTAGAACGTCGATTTTGGCAACTTCTCCACTTTTTCTCGGAATTTGTTTTTTTTCGAAAAATTCAAAAAATTTCCGATCGAAATCGTAGTTGAGTAGTGTTCGCTCTTACTATTTTCGTACTTCCTGCTCTAAACAAAGTCCAGGCGTCTGCCTCCCCGGAGCATCATCTTGTTTCGAAAAATTTTAACTCCATAACAATGACGATGCACATCAACACGTTCTCACTAACACAATATTTTGAATGCGATGGAATAAAAATTATAATTCAACTTTCCAAGAGCTTTTACAGAACTTTTTTTTTGCAAGAATTTGCAAGTCTGGAGAGAAATTACCGTTTGAGCCATTGAAAATTTATAAGCCATACGGCAGCACTTCACTGCAATTAATTAATGACGGGACTACTATTATCGCAATTAAAGAAGCGAAAAATTAACAAAAATCAATTTTATTCACCCAAAGATGTAGAAAATTTGATTTTTTTTTCGCTGGATAATCGTCTCTGCCGGCATTTTTTTACATTCTTTCTATTGAAAATCTCACCGCAAGAATGGGAACCATTGGCATTCTTTCACCATTTATTTTAAAAAATCTCGTTCTATTCCTTAGCATAATTATTGTAATTTGGCAGTGATGAATTTTTTTGCAAACTCAGTTTGCTACTCGTTTTCGGTGTGTTGTTAAAAAAATTTGGCTGAATTTTCTACAAAAAAGGGTGAGAAGAAGTCAATGGAATTTCAAATTTCTCTGAAGATTCAAGTAAAGTCCCGAGTTTTTTGCGACAGAAAGGCAAAAATTACGAAATTTACATGAATTTCCAAGCGAAAATGAATATTCACTGCCAAATTCCTTTGAACTTCCTTAAAATTCACAGAGGAATCTGGAATTCAAGCAGAGATTCCTCTGAATTTTTCTGCTTCTTCATTAACTTTCCCGGAGTAATTAAACTGAAATCAACAGTTTCCCTGGATTTTCAATTAAATTATGAAATTTCACTGACAAAATTTCTCGAAATTTCAGTGGAAACTATTCAACAGTGCACGACATTTGTTTTTTTTTATTGTTATGTGCACGACACTTACAGGTGTCAAATTTTTTATGGAGCATTTTTTTTCCTCATATTTGTGGCTGAATTTTATGACGTGGCTTTTAACAAGGAGATCGGCACCTGTCAAGCTTTATTAGGGACAGACGCTGGGGGGTCAGGATCAGTGGTCACCGGGTGGTCTCTTCCTGAGAGTCGAAGAAAAAACAGGATCAAGACGTGAGTTTGAATTTCCAAATTGAAAAGTCGACTTAATTCAATCGGCGGAAACATGGAGAAATTCTTCATCACGACGGTGATCTTCTGCGTATTGACTGATTCTTCATCCGGCTCGTTGTTTGGGGTGAGTTATTTATAATGTCGAATTGGGGATTATTATGCACTTCAAGGGGGTGAATCGGGTTGATATGATTTAAGCCGTTCAATTATTCAATTTTTACTTTTAAGATATTAACGACTTTATACTTTAGATTATATTTTGGATGTGTTAGATACAATACTTATTATTTGGGGATTTCTGTTGGCATATGGACACATTGCATATAACCATATTTGCCATATGATCCACATATGGCCCCCATGATACTTATTCTGACCCTTTTGAACCTTAATCTGACTTTCGTGACCCTTAATCTATTCGTTGTGATCCTTATTATTCTTAATCTGACCCTTGTGACCCTTATTATGACCCTCATACTCCTTAATCCGACTGACGTGATCCTTAATCTGCCTTCGTGACCTTATTATAACCCCCATGACCCTTATTTTGACCCTGGTGACCTCATTATGACCCTCATAGCCCTTGTTTTGACCCTCGCGACCCTTATTTTGACCCCTGTGACCCTTAATTTTGGAGTCTTTTTTTCAAGGACCAAATTTTCATCACCACAAGTCGACTAGGATTTTTATACAAAATAATATAGAGAGATGATTAAATCTTGCGCACGAAGTCATCCAAATATGGGTTTCTCTCTCATATTACGTCGGGCATATTCGTTAAATTCTCTGATAAATAGTTGATTTACTCTTCCTTATGTAAATCATTCCTCAATGAATCTTCGAAACGCTTTGGTGATTCGAAAAATTAAGGGATATTGAAATTTATGAGAAAATAATCTTGCCAGAGAATAGAATTGAAGGAAGAGAATGAAATGAGCATTTTTCCACTTTTGCCTTGGAAAATACATCGATCCTCCCTCAACTGATTAAAAATTGGACTTCCACTCAAATTTTAAAACAAAATAAATTTTGCAAATTCTGGTTTCTACGGAGTTATCATAAACTCCTGAAGTAGAGAATGCGGCGATATAATATAGATACCATATTTCCATTTTATCGAATATGACTCGTATGAGTTTTATCCAAAATAATACAATTTTGACATTGAAATGTATTCCTTGATCGATAAAAAATGAAGTCGTCCAGGAAGCGCATAAAAATTGAAACAAAAAATTAGCAATATTTTCAGATAGAGAACAAACTGGGACTTACCACCTCATATGTGTCCCATGTTTGCAGATATATATCCGATAAAACTTCAAAATGTGATGCAGAAACATAAATTATTTATTACAAAAGTTGAGATAATTTTTATATCAGGCATAGAATTTTTTTTTTTTCAAGATTTCTTTCAAATTTTAATCTTCTCCCTTACCTCGAAAAGATAATTGTCACATAAGACTCTGTGTTATTTTTTCACGTCCGGATTAATGATTATCCATAAAATTAGACGGCAGATTGAGCACAAACTCAGTCAGATTGTTTTTATTCGTACTAATTTTGTTTATAATTTATTCAAGATTTTAATCTTCAAAATTTAAGTCATGTGTATAATTTAATATCGTTCACTTGATGATTACTCTTCCGGATTTAGATCTGCCGCTTGGAGTTGTGGGAATCCTGAAGAGCATATGTAAATTATCAAGTAAATGTAATTATCAAGTAAATTATCTAAAAACAAAGAATGTACTTTATGATACCGTATTACCCTGAATACGATGTAAAAAAAATTTTTTCTAGCAGAATAACATGTAAATTAGTTTTTTTAAGCAGAATAAACCAACAGTTTTGATTGCTACAATAATTTAAAAAAAAATCTTCCGGATTTGCGTGTTAAAATCATAATTCCATAAATTTACGGAATTGTTACCCCCGAATGGTTTTCAACAAATAATCTTCCTGGATTTGAATTTGACAAATGTCATCGTTTATCAATCCTCTCTTAATGTTGATTGGTCTATTTTTGTTCTCCGCAATAGTCTGGCGGTGGAGGAGGATCCGCTGGAAGCCACGCTGACGGGAAATTTGCCAGAGAGGTGGACGCGGAAGCCGGCATTCATGAAGAAGCCCACTTGGGCATCGGGGGTGGAGGACACGTAGAAGGTCACATTGACGGTGCATTCGATGTGGGAGCCCAAATGGGGGGATTATTAAGTGGAGCATTCAACGCTGGATCGAAAATCGCGGGGGCGGCAATGGGTAGGTCAAAATTGGCTTTAGTAGGAGTGAAGGATGCAGCGGTAAGTGCCGCATCGGCAGTCGCTGGAGCAGTAAAAGGTGAAATAGAACATCTCAGAGAATTCGGGGAAAAACTGAAAGGATCGGGAGACACTGAAGGAGAATTCAGCGAAAAGGGATATGGTGAGATAGGTTACGTCGTAGGAGGACAGGCTGACGGAGGATACAGCAGGAAGGTCCATGTTGAAGGAGGATACGAAAAAAAGGGCCATGTTGGAGCAGAATACGGCCGAGAGGACTATTATATTGAAGGAGGATATGGCAGTGGTGGCCATACTAGACGAGTTGAAGAAAAACTGAAACGATCGGGAGACACCGAAGGAGAATTCAGCGAAGAAGGATATGGTGAGGGACGTTACGGCGCAGGAGGATACGTTGACGGAGGATACATCAGGAAGGTCCATGTTGAAGGAGGGTACGAAAAAAAGGGCCACGTTGGAGCAGAATACGGCAGAGAGGACTATGTTGGAGGAGGATACGGCAGAGGTGCCCATGCTGAAAGAGTTGGAGAAAAACTGAAAGGATCGGGAGATACCGAAGAAGAATTCAGCGAAAAGGGATATGGTGAGATAGGTTACGGCGCAGGAGGCCACGCTGACGGGAAATATGCCGGAGAGGTGAACGCGGAAGCCGGCATTCATGAAGAAGCCCACTTGGGCATCGGAGGTGGAGGACACGTAGAAGATCACATTGACGGAGCATTCGATGTGGAAGGCAACATAGGGGGATTATTAAGTGGAGCATTCAACGCTGGATCGAAAATCGCGGGGGCGGCAATGGATGGTTCAAAATTGGCTTTGGTAGGAGTGAAGGATGCAGCGGTAAGTGACGCATCGGCAGTCGCTGGAACAGTAAAAGGTGGAATAGAACATCTCAGAGAATTCGAGGAAAAACTGAAAGAATCGGGAGACACCGAAAGAGAATTCAGCGAAGAGGGATATGGTGAGAGAAGTTACGGCGCAGGAGGACACATTGACGGAGGATACAGCAGGAAGGTCCATGTTGAAGGAGGATACGAAAAAAAGGGCCATGTTGGAGCAGAATACGGCAGAGAGGACTATGTTGGAGGAGGATACGGCAGAGGTGGCCATGCTGAAAGAGTTGGAGAAAAACTGAAAGGATCGGGAGATACCGAAGAAGAATTCAGCGAAAAGGGATATGGTGAGATAGGTTACGGCGCAGGAGGCCACGCTGAGGGAAAATATGCCGGAGAGGTGAACGCGGAAGCCGGCATTCATGAAGAAGCCCACTTGGACATCGGAGGTGGAGGACACGTAGAAGATCACATTGACGGAGCATTCGATATGGAAGGCAACATAGGGGGATTATTAAGTGGAGCATTCAACGCTGGATCGAAAATCGCGGGGGCGGCAATGGGTAGATCAAAATTGGCTTTGGTACGAGTGAAGGATGCAGCGGTAAGTGACGCATCGGCAGTCGCTGGAACAGTAAAAGGTGGAATAGAACATCTCAGAGAATTCGAGGAAAAACAGAAAGAATCGGGAGACACCGAAAGAAAATTCAGCGAAAAGGGATATGGTGAGAGAAGTTACGGCGCAGGAGGACACGTTGACGGAAGATACAGCAGGAAGGTCCATGTTGAAGGAGGGTACGAAAAAAAGGGCCATGTTGGAGCAGAATACGGCAGAGAGGACTATGTTGGAGGAGGATACGGCAGAGGTGGCCATGTTGAAAGAGTTGGAGAAAAACTGAAAGGATCGGGAGATACCGAAGAAGAATTCAGCGAAAAGGGATATGGTGAGATAGGTTACGACGCAGGAGGCCACGCTGACGGGAAATATGCCGGAGAGGTGAACGCGGAAGCCGGCATTAATGAAGAAGCCCACTTGGGCATCAGAGGTGGAGGCCACGTAGAAGGTCACATTGACGGAGCATTCGATGTGGAAGGCAACATAGGGGGATTATTAAGTGGAGCATTCAACGCTGGATCGAAAATCGCGGGGGCGGCAATGGGTGAATCAAAATTGACTTTGGTAGGAGTGAAGGATACAGCGGTAAGTGACGCATCGGCAGTCGCTGGAACAGTAAAAGGTGGAATAGAACATCTCAGAGAATTCGAGGAAAAACTGAAAGAATCGGGAGACACCGAAGGAGAATTCAACGCAGAGGGATATGGTGAGAGAAGTTACGGCGCAGGAGGACACGTTGACGGTGCATATAGCAGGAAGATCCATGTTGAAGGAGGGTACGAAAAAAAGGACTATGTTGGAGCAGAATACGGCAGAGAGGACTATGTTGGAGGAGGATACGGCAGAGGTGGCCATGCTGAAAGAGTTGGAGAAAAACTGAAAGGATCGGGAGATACCGAAAAAGAATTCAGCGAAAAGGGATATGGTGAGATAGGTTACGGCGCAGGAGGCCACGCTGAGGGAAAATATGCCGGAGAGGTGAACGCGGAAGCCGGCATTCATGAAGAAGCCCACTTGGGCATCGGAGGTGGAGGACACGTAGAAGATCACATTGACGGAGCATTCGATGTGGAAGGCAACATAGGGGGATTATTAAGTGGAGCATTCAACGCTGGATCGAAAATCGCGGGGGCGGCAATGGGTGGATCAAAATTGGCTTTGGTAGGAGTGAAGGATGCAGCGGTAAGTGACGCATCGGCAGTCGCTGGAACAGTAAAAGGTGGAATAGAACATCTCAGAGAATTCGAGGAAAAACTGAAAGAATCGGGAGATACCGAAGAAGAATTCAGTGAAAAGGGATATGGCGAGACAGGTTACGGCGCAGGAGGCCACGCTGAGGGAAAATATGCCGGAGAGGTGAACGCGGAAGCCGGCATTCATGAAGAAGCCCACTTGGGCATCGGAGGTGGAGGACACGTAGAAGATCACATTGACGGAGCATTCGATGTGGAAGGCAACATAGGGGGATTATTAAGTGAAGCATTCAACGCTGGATCGAAAATCGCGGGGGCGGCAATGGGTAGATCAAAATTGGCTTTGGTACGAGTGAAGGATGCAGCGGTAAGTGACGCATCGGCAGTCGCTGGAACAGTAAAAGGTGGAATAGAACATCTCAGAGAATTCGAGGAAAAACTGAAAGAATCGGGAGATACCGAAGAAGAATTCAGTGAAAAGGGATATGGTGAGATAGGTTACGGCGCAGGAGGCCACGCTGAGGGAAAATATGCCGGAGAGGTGAACGCGGAAGCCGGCATTCATGAAGAAGCCCACTTGGGCATCAGAGGTGGAGGACACGTAGAAGGTCACATTGACGGAGCATTCGATGTGGAAGGCAACATAGCGGGATTATTAAGTGGAACATTCAACGCTGGATCGAAAATCGCGGGGGCGGCAATGGGTGGATCAAAATTGACTTTGGTAGGAGTGAAGGATGCAGCGGTAAGTGACGCATCGGCAGTCGCTGGAACAGTAAAAGGTGGCATAGAACATCTCAGAGAATTCGAGGAGAAACTGAAAGAATCGGGAGACACCGAAGGAGAATTCAGCGAAGAGGGATATGGTGAGAGAAGTTACGGCGCAGGAGGATACGTTGACGGAGCATACAGCAGGAAGGTCCATGTTGAAGGAGGGTACGAAAAAAAGGGCTATGTTGGAGTAGAATACGGCAGAGAGGACTATGTTGGAGGAGGATACGGCAGAGGTGGCCATGCTGAAAGAGTTGGAGAAAAACTGAAAGGATCGGGAGATACCGAAGAAGAATTCAGCGAAAAGGGATATGGTGAGATAGGTTACGGCGCAGGAGGCCACGCTGACGGGAAATATGCCGGAGAGGTGAACGCGGAAGCCGGCATTCATGAAGAAGCCCACTTGGGCATCGGAGGTGGAGAACATGTAGAAGGTCACATTGACGGAGCATTCGATGGGAAAGGCAACATAGGGGGATTATTAAGTGGATCATTCAACGCTGGATCGAAAATCGCGGGGGCGGCAATGGGTGGATCAAAATTGGCTTTGGTAGGAGTGAAGGATGCTGTGGTTAGTGACGCATCGGCAGTCGCTGGAATAGTAAAAGGTGGAATAGAACATCTCAGAGAATTCGAGGAAAAACTGAAAGGATCAGGACACACCGAAGGAGAATTCAGCGAAAAGGGATATGGTGAGATAGTTTACGGCGCAGGAGGACATGCTAACGAAGGATACAGCAGGAAGGTCCATATTGAAGGAGGATACAAAAAAAAAAGCCATGTTGGAGCAGAATACGGCAGAGAGGACTATGTTGGAGGAGGATACGGCAGTGGTGGCCATACTGGAAGAGTTGAAGAAAAACTGAAAGGATCAGGAGACATCGAAGGAGAACTCAGCGAAGAGGGATATGGTGAGAGAGGTTACGGCGCAGGAGGACACGTTGCCAGAGGATACAGCAGGAAGATTCATGTTGAAGGAGGCTACGAAAAGAAGGGCCATGTTGGAGCAGAATACGGCAGAGGGGACCATGTTGGAGGAGGATATAGTGGTGGAGGACATGCTGAAGGTCATGTTGGAGAAAAATTAGGCGCAGGAGGACATGTCGGGGGAAAAGTCGGCACAGACGGATATGCCGAAGAAAAATTGAGACAGGAAATGCTGGAGGATACGTTAGCGCAGATGGCCATACCGGAGGAAAATGCGGCGCAGATCGACGTGCCAGCGAAACAGCTGATAAAGGTACAGGAATACACACAATGTGTTCTTTCAGTAGACACTTCTGGAGATTAGGGTGCGTCACTGGGTTTCGCAAAAAAGTAGCTAACGAGGCGATAAACGCTGCAGATGGACTTTTGGGGGTACAATCAACCCTCCGATTGAGGAGCATTGTGCGACTCACCAAACACCAGACATTTCTCTGCATAAACTATGAATATTAATTAGTTATAAATATAGATGCGAATCTTTTCAGGGAAATGAAATTCTAGTTCTCGTCTGCAGATGCTGACAAAAATATACCTATCATAAAATTGTAACCCTTTCCAATTGTTGGGAACAATATTTTCATGAATATAGTAAAATAGGGTTCGACACTCGTGGAAAAAGGGCTCACACCTCCCACCACTCAAAAAACACTTTTTACGCACTCGTGCCGAAGTCTACTAATTTTGAAATGATTTTTTTCGGGCGAAAATAGATCTACATTTTTATTTCTTCGTATTTTGCATGTTTCTGAATAAAAATATTACTTCCCAGAAGTCACTGCAATAACAAGCTGTGACGTAAAACAAATTCAAACCAGTTCTGATAAAGATGACCAAAATTAATGACTCGAGCTGTGGACAACCTGAAATGTTACCAGACATTACTATTGAGTTTTTGTTGACCATATTTTCAATTATGTTAATCATAACAGTAATGCTGTAATAATTACATCAGATATTATTTCATAATTGTAGAATTTCACACATTTTCTAGCAGATATTTTTTTAAAACCTCGAGAATGAAGAGTTTTTGAGAAATTCTGTCGAATTTCTATTAGAACTCTGTGAGAATTCTCTTTATTTTATTTCAATTTAGTTCTAGTAAAATTTTATTGAAAAATTCCATTTGTTTTTTATGCCATTTCTGTATGAGAAAGAAGTCAACAGATCTTTATTTTTCTATAGAAATTTTTGAGCGTCAATGCTCCAATTTTTTCCGCTGTATGTTTATTTCTTCCCCATGATAAAATTCAAGAAAAAAAATCATAAAAATTATGTTCAAAAATTCTTACAGAAAAAATTCAAACAAACTGAGTTATATAAAAACGAAATCTATCGACATGTTTCTATAAACAAATATTTATTTAAAAACAAAACAAAAATTCTAAAACGGTGCGTTGCATAATTTTTAATTGAATTGACGTGAAAAAGAATCTGTCAGATGACAAATATTCACGTGAATTTCTTTGGGAATGCACTAGAGAAAGCGTTTTTCTATTCAATTTTCACACTCGTGTTCCCAGAATACTCCCAAAATAATCATCATAGAATTGTCGGCCCCCCGAGCAAGCCTAAAAAAGAAGGCGTGAAAAAGTTTGAGAATCGCTTCGGCTCGAAGTTCATCAACATTCATCACTCTCGCTAATGTTTTTTCCTTTGATATTTTCAGAACGAACCGACATGCCCGCGAGGATTCACCGGGTACCTGGAGTACCCATACAACTGCTACAAGTTTTTGCAGTGCGACCGCGGTCGTACATTCGTAATGAACTGCGGCCCTGGTACAGCTTTCAATCCCAGTATAAATGTCTGCGATTGGCCACAAAATGTTCCTACTTGCCACGGTAATTCCATAAATATTATTTTTTATGATTTAGGAACAGGGCTGATGTGCGCGGGGTTGCACTACTGGACTTAACTGATCGGAATCTTTTTGTAGGGGAGACCGGGGCAAAATGAAACAGCCGAAAAACGACTATCTGACGCAATTCAAGCAAAAAAAATTCACTTCTGTTTAATAGACAAATTTAATAAACAAAAAGTTGAAATTTTAACTTTTGTTTATTAACTTTTTTTATTATTGGGAGTACTCATGAGAATAATAATTTTCTATTCGTTTTAGAATTCAGTTTATTAGATTAGGCCGATTACACTTCTTTTTTCATTCGACTGAAATTCCGCAACATATTTTCCTTTTTCCCCCTCTGGGCCTCTCCCTGGGCCTTCCCCTGGACTTTGGATTTCATTGTTTCATTTTCTTTTCAATTAATCCATCGACAAAATCTTTTCCTGTCAAAACTTCGCAATAATTTTCCATTCTACTGAATTAAATTAAAAAATTGAATTCAATTGAACTGAATTGAATTAAATTATTATTATTCTCATTAGTGAGAATCAAGGTCTCAAGAATTAAAAAAAGTTGATAAACAAAAGTTGATGAAAAAAATGTTTAATAAAAAAAAATTTTAGCTTGAATGATGTCAAACGATGGTTTTTCGATTGTTTCATTTTGCCGCCTCATTTTTTCCCTATTTCTTTCATTAAGAGAGATCATTGCAATTTCAATTTTTTTTTCATTTTGTGTTTTACAGCGTATTGAAAGGGAATCATCGACATTCGTTGACACGACAGAAGAATCGAAGACACTTTTTGATAGAAAACATTTATTGATTAAGTTTTTTTTCATTTTTATTTTTCTATTTCATTGGTTTTATCGAAGTAGTTCTCGATTTGAAACCCCTCCTCTAGCCTGCCTCCCCTGCTTTACTTTTCCTCTCATTGTTATCTGCGGTATCATGGCCGTCTTACTCTTAGCAGTGCCCCATTCGAGCTAGGACTGCACGGGAAACCATGTGAAACCCCAGTCGCACAGCCGGCCGATTGTGCAGTGCCCTAATGGATCCATCTGTCACACTGACTAGATGGAGACACTAGGCCGCTACACCGTGCCTACCGTCCGTAATTTTTATGCGAGCGAGGTGTTCCTAAGCAGTCACCCATCCAAGTACTAACTCAGCTCAACACTGTTTAGCTTGGATGTCCGCCGGAGCAACACCTCACCCACCTAACCATTACAGTCGGTATTGATTAAGTAAATTCATTAGGTAAATGCCACGCAGATTTCCTTAATTCCGTAGAAAATGGTATTAAAAAATGAGATACATGGTCGAGGCATCGTGAGGTGTAGAGGGATTATTCATACGAAATGTCCTGTTGAAAGCCATTATTTTCCTCCTCAAGATGTTCTCCAGATTCTAGAGAATAAAAAGTACGGAAATAAATGAGTCTAGGGTAAAATAACGTGATGCAGTTTTCAAAGCGGAGGGAATCCTCTGTGAAAAGCTATTCTGGTATTCTGTTTTAGACTTACTCGTCCTCTGAGATATTTTCGTAGAGAATTTTGTGGGCGATGAAAAAAAATTCTTCACGTTATTCTCTGAACTTGTGTTTTCGAGATATTTGCCAAATAATTTGTAAAAAATGTCTCATCCAATCCCGAAAACTGCGTTTTATATGAAACAATATACTTTGGATGTTATGAGTATTTATTTATCTCCTGACATTGGGCAATATTTTTGAGATGTCCATCTTTTTAAAAATGCAATAAAAAAAGTATTTTTCTGAAAATATCTCTGGAGCAAATAAATCTGCAGAAAAATAACGTGAGACGATTTTTTCAACTGAGAAAATTCTCGACGATAAACTATTTTGGTATTCTCTTTCCGACTTATTCGTTGTCTGAAATATTTTTCTACAGAATTTTATGGACTACAAAAAAAAACCTTTTGGCATTCTTCTATAAACCTCTGTTTCTGAGTTATTTGCAAAATAATCTGTAACAAATGTCTCATTCAATCTCAAAAACTCCGCCTTATATGAAACAATATATTTTGAATGTCATGAATAAAAAAAAATGCGATGAATGAATGAACGACGAACGTGATGATGTTTATTCATCTTTCACGTTTTGAAATGTTCTCTACATTTCTGTAAAAATGCACTAAAAAATGGACTTTCCTGCAGAAATTGTGAAGCAAATAATTAGGATAAAACGTAATAAAATAATTCTTATAGCTGCGCAAATTTTCTACGATAAGTTCTTTTGGAATTCTCTTTCACACTTATTCGTTCTCTAAAATATTACTGTACAGAATTTTATGAATGACAAAAAAATTCTCTCCATTCTTAGTTAAAATAACATTCTTGGGGATTTTGGTTACCTCCCAAGGGTATTGAGTAATATCCATGGAGAGGACCTCAAGCAGAGATAAATCTGCCTCAACCTTCTTGATTTTCGAGGCCTCGTTCAACTCAATCTTCGGTGGATTACGCCCGTACCATTTTGCGCGATATCCCTTCATGTTTATGGTACCCTCAACCTCTATCAAATCTCCAATTTTGAAATGCTGAATGTCGTCGTTGTTCGTCAGGACAATGTTCAGTTTTTTGCGGCCATCAGTGATGGATCCATAAGTGCAGTGTTTAAGCTTTGCAAATTCACCTTTTACGAAACCTTTGAGACCTGTCACATTTGAAATTATCCGACATTATAATTTTATTGAAATTCTCTAGAAATTCTATTGGGATTCTATTTGAATTCTAGGGAATTCTCGTTAAAATGCCATTAGTTTTTTGCGGAGGCAAAAATAGATTTCGATTTTTTTATATGAATATTCTCTTGGAATTTTCTCTATAGAAATATTTGGTCATGAATTTTCTAAGTTTACTAAAAGAAAAAACTTTTTTCCGAGAAAATTCGTGCCCTATAATTTTAATAAAAAAATTCGCAAGAGAAAAATTCAAACAAAAAAATCTGAATCTATTGACTTTTTCCTATCAAATATCTAATAGAACCTGCGCAAAAAATCAATATAATTGTAACGAGAATTCCCTACAATTTAAATAGATTCCTATAGAATTTCTAGAGAATTTCAAGTGAATTTCCTAGCGAATTCGCTAAGGTTTTCTTTTAAATTTTTTCATACGTGTTTTCATTGCCATTATAACTGCTTACTTACATACGAGCTGCCCATCAGACTCACGAATCTGATTCCACAAGATAGTGGGGGGTACTGTTTTCTGCAACTCCTCGGGATTGAACTCCCCGATTTTTTTAATGATCGAAGTGGGATGATTGACGTGAATTTCGAAAGCTTCACCATTGATTTGCGAATTTATGTTGTCGCGAACGAATGGGACGTCGACTATTTTGCAACTGGCGTTGATGATGTGGAGGATCTGATGGAGGAGGAGATATCGATAACAATTTTCAGGGAAAAATATAGCATTTGAAAATTTTTCTGCAGATTTTTTTACTCCGAGTACGCTTTTACCGCATTTGGCTTGATTCATTCCGGATGAATTTTACTCGCTTGATTCCAGACACATATGAGGAGTGTTCTGCGACGGTTATTGTTCAATGTAAACATCACTCTGACATTGTCCATCGGCGTTGGTGGATTCTCCATTATGGTTTCTACGTATCCGATGACATCCCTATGAAATAAAAATGCAGAAATTAATAGCAGGATTATAAGCGCTTTTTTTTTCTCGTGGGACTTACACTCGTTTATCTCCGGCTGTGAAGGAGTCGATGGCTTCATTTCTAGTTGCGAATTCCATCTTTAGTATTCTGAAAATTATATAGGAAATCATATAGAAATGGAAAATGTTTTTCAAATTTGACTGTAAAACATATTATTATTATTTTTTCCTATTCACCCATATTAAGCGATTAACTGGTCAAATCCTGATTGACTCATTTTGCTTTATTTTTCTTTCGTTTTCATTTATTTTCTACACTCTACAATCAGTAAATACCAGGCTGAAGGCCCTCGAACGATAGCCAGTCACAAGATTCTTGCGACTGATTCGATTAGAACGAAAATAAATAAATATTTTTAAAGTAGTAAATTAAAATTGTTTGAGGACCAATTTTTGTCATGATGCACTCACCAACAATTCTCCGCCGGTTGGCGCAGTCCAACTGAAGAATCCATTGGTGCTGGACCACACGTAGCGTCTGAAAACTCGTAGAACACATCTAGTATGATGCTGAATTAATGAAAAATAACAAACAAAAACATGGATTCCCGAAAAATGATAATATTATAAAAAACAACGATAGTTTCATGGAAAAATGTCGTTATTGTTCTGTAATATTGTCATTTTTCATGAAAATACTATGCCCTCTCCATAATATCATTGTTTTTCAAAAATTCATTTTTTAGTCGTTATTTTTTATTGACTCAGCATCATGAGAGCGAACACTGCTTAAATACGATTTCCATCGGAAATTTTCTGAATTTTTCGGAAAAAAAATTAAATTTCGAAAAAAAAAGTGGTGAAGCTGCCGAAATCGACTTTTTAAGTTTTCTTTTTCTTTTAATTTTCGCCATGAAGGAGGGGTGGGAGGAAAGAATTGACATCTTTTTTGGAAAATTCAGAAAATTTCCGATCAAAAACTATGTTTTGATTTTTTTTTTCTGAGCCAATTTTATCACACTTAGTTCGATTGAACAATTTTGAGTGAAAATCGTTTGAGCTTGCGGAGCCCCAGCAGTTGAAGTGCCCAGACCTCTCCCAGTCGAGAAATCTTCTTTTCTACACGTAAGGAGTAGAAAGAAACGAGAAAAAAACTATTAAAAATTTTAAGGCCGGATTTGCGTACGATATTTGGTGGAATGGCCCATACCCTAATGTACGGGAAATCGCCAAATGTTCGTCATATTTTTTTTTGGAGCTTTGCAATCCTCTAACGAATTAACACTTGAACACTTCTCCTTCTTTCCTCCTGGAATTTCGCTCTGCTTAAAAAAAAATTAAAGCAAAGATGTTCGTCTTATATAGCTTTCATGATTGAATTTCTCATTTTCACAGAAAAAAGTCATAAAATAAAATGTAAAATTATATAATAAAAAAGCCAATAAAAAAACTCTTGGTTGGCTGTATCGCTGATACAGCCGTAAGTTTTGCGTGGATACGTCTATGTTACGTAGATGCTCGGGAAATTAGAAGAACGATACGAATTAATGTTTCAAACTGTTCCACTGCGAGTGGAGTATGGGACAATGAGAGCTCGATGCATAACCTACAATTCCCAGTAGAACTCTTTCGCCAGTTCTACTGTATCTCTGTTATACTCATCACCACTTGAAACGTACTATAAACGTCGTTTCAACCCAAGTCCACGTTTAATGGCAGTCGGTAAAGTGAATTCCGTACTTACCGACTTAGTTTCCCTATACGCCAACAGACTGCGTTAGTAAATATCTACCTGTGCCAGGGGGGTGAAACTACGGTTTCAGCGTAGCCACACACGTATTGCAATCCGCGCGGTGGCGCCAGCATCGTCTGCCCAGTTGGGGGGCGGGGCTAAACCAAAATCGGCGATTCCAAAGGGCTTCCCATTTGAAAATTAATTCACCACGGCTTGTTAAACTGTTAATAGACATCCGAAATGGGACAGAAAATGGTACTACAAGAGTTTTATAAATGTATTTATTCTCGTATAAATATTTGATGTCAATTATGCATAAAAACAATGTTTTAGAGTATGAAAAATTGGAAAATACATATATTATCATGATGAACACCATTTCGCTGCTTTCTTCTTCAATTGATTAGACTTCTCCCGTTCACGATTAATACGATTGCAGTATTGTTGCATTCGGGTGATGGTGAAGTACTGAATGATTTGCATTACTCGTTCGGAGCCATGCTCTTTACACGGAA